CAGAATGTAGCAATTGTCTGTTGACCTTTTACCTTCCATAACACATTGATTCTCTTTATCTAGGACACTGCAATTATTTTTGGTGAAGCATACGTTCCAATTTTGGTCGCAGAGTTGGCTTATACTTATGAGATTTGCGTGAAAACCATTGACTAGCAATACTTTTTCTAGCTTTGGTAGGCCAACCACATTTAGAGTGCCTACTCCAGTGACTTGACCTTTGATACCGTCACCAAAGGTGACTTCACCTTTGCTAGCATTCACGTTGCTTAGAAATTTTGCATTTCCTGTCATGTGACGGGAACACCCGCTGTCAAAATACCACTTCTCTTCTCTTCCTGCACTTTTAGAGTGGAACGAAACAAAAGAAATATAGTTAGTTTTCTTAACCCAAATTTGTTTTGTAAAATGCCGGATATTCTTGTGCCTGAACTTCTCAGTTCTTTGATCTTTGTAGAAGTAGTAGCATTCGGGTCTAGTATGACCCCGCAACCTGCAATAATGACATACAGGGTTATAGAGTTTATAAAATTGCTTGTTTGACCGTACTATACCATTATTTTGTCTCGCTGAGCTGGATTCAAGAATGTCTACTAGATCATGTCCAGATGCTTTGACGAATACCATTTTATCTTTTGAAATACCCCCGGTGAAACCCATACCAAATTTTGTAGACGACTTTCTTCCTGAATCAAGAATTTTGTCAAGTGTTGAAGTTGTGTCCATCATTTGGATTTGTCTTTTGAAGGAGCTTAGCTCCTGCTTCAGGGTATGTACCTCTTGTTTCAGTCTTTTTTCTCGATCAGACGCCTCTTTAAGAAGTAAATCCCTATCAGCTTCTTGATTTTGATATACTTTACTGGCATTTGCTACTATTCCTATCTCATTAGTCAATTTGCGATTAGCTTTTCGTAGGGCTTCCCATTTGGGATACAATTTATTGAACTCAACTTCATAAGATAAAGCATGTAAATCTAAATCTTCCGCGGAGACATATTCGCCTCCCTCCGAATCAGCTACGTCTCCAAGTTCTGAACACACAGCAATACGTGCAGTGAATGCAACAAAGTTATCGAATATTTCTTCTACGTCATATCCAGCTACGTCAGTCTCAGGTTCGTCGTCACTCCAGGTAATGGCCGACATAGATTTCTTATGTCTTAGATAGGTGGGACATTCTGCTTGGACGTGACCGAAACCTTCACACTCATAGCATTTAATCCCTTTATTGCTAGATTTGTCTCTAGATTTCCCTGGACGTGAAGCAGAAGGCTTGACATTTGACGAGCCCGTCCTGGGGCCAGCTTTTGTTGTATTTGACGTTGATCCTCTTTATGATTTGTTGTTGCGGGAATTCTTTGACACCTGTTTCAAGATTTTAGAAAATTGCTTAGTTTAAAAAACAACTATATCATCAATTGGTTCGTCTGAGTCAGACACAACATTATTTTCTTCAGCGGCAAAAGTTACGGTTTTTTGTTTTTTTTTTTTGTGATCAGTTAGAATTTCCATTTCATAAGTTCAAAGGTTTCCCATTATGTGACACCCCAAAAATCCACACTCCAAACCATGAATTAATTGAGTAATTAATTCTATTTCTTTTGAGGAATTGATTCCTAAAATCTGGATTTTTTGATACTCAAGGACTAGTATTTGACTAGTCAATCTTTAAGCGGTGTTGTACCTTGTGCTTTGAGAGGAGTTCCCTTATTCCTTACACTTTTTAAGAGTTAGTAAGGGTATCCTTGTCTTTTCACCAAGAGCTAGTTTTGTAACCTAAACCTAGAAGACTTCTTCATTTCATTCCCTTACATTTCCTAGAAAGTATCTCTACCTTCTCTCTAGAATAGAAGAGTAGCTTGTTCTTCAAGCCAAAAGATGCCTTTGTCAAGATTCCAAGTTTTGCTTCCATGATTCAATCTTTCCTCTATTTTGGCATCTAGAAGGGTAAGATCTACACTTGTCTAGTCTTTTTGGTTCCATCTTAGTTGTCTTTTTCTTAAAGGTTGGATCTTTATGATCTTTTGGTTTGATCTTGAAGTGGGTTTGGCTAGTGAGCTTAATGGAGAGCTTGTTGTGGTGTAAGAAGAGTCTTTTGGTCTTCAAGAGGTAACCCATGCTTTACAAAACCTATTTTGCTTACCTATATATGATTTCTTGGCTTCTATTTGTGTTTTGCTATGAAATGTGAGAGTTTATGCATTTATCTTGTGATATTGCATATCTAGAGCTTGTGTTTAGGATTCGTTTGTGCCATTGCTTGGCATTTTCCTTGGTTCAAGTCATTTTGTTGTGTTTGGTGAGATTTGGTGTGTTTTGGACTTGAATTTGTGTTGGAAGGAGAAAATCCCCGAAGGGATTGTTTGACACAGGAGCGTGTACCCGCGGGCGGAACGGCGGGGAGAGCCCTACCCGCCGCCCACCCGCCGGTACACGGGAATGTGGGTGTTGTACCCGCGGGCAGAACCACGGGTAGGGGCCTACCCGTGGGTCCACCCGCGGGGAACACAATGGTGTTGAGATGGGATTTGTTCCCCGTGATTTGTTTGTCTCGGTCTTTGATCTTTTGGCCTCCCGATGTTCTTTTGTGGAACTATTTGAGCGTCTTCTTGATGTTTCGTAGGTCTAGAGCTTTATGGTAGGTATCCATGTAGGATCTTTGGTGTTGTGTATTGTGCTAAGTGTTCAACATTGTGTTTCGTTGAACCGTGTGGTGTCTTCTGTGTTCCTCGGATTTATCTTGAGTTTCCCCATTGTTGAGCTTACTAGATATTATCTTAATGCTAGCGTCGTTGTTGTCGTTGGGTGGTGACCCGTCTCTTGATTGAGTATGTCTCTTACCTCTTTTGCAATCTGTTGCTTGTTTCGTGTGAGTGGTGGTGCGTGTGTGGCTCTACCTGGATTGCACGATTAGTGGTATGGGACGCTAGTCACCAAGGTATTGCAGCGGTCCTCGTGGTGGCCGTGACGTGATTATGGAGTTGTGTCTGAGTCCATGTGATTGGGGGATAACATTGTGTTATCCGGGCATGTGTTGCCGTGAATTGGTGGGTTTTCGTTGGTGGTTATAGGTGGGGGACGACGGTCCCGGCGGAATAAGGTTGGACTTGGCTGTACATGGGGTTTTCCGGAGGTAATGGTTGGCTTTGTAGGTACAAGGTTGGGGGTAGCCATAAGGTTGGAACAGGGCATAAGGAAGACATATCAACTCGTGATGTGTGATGTCACGAGGGCTTGTGAAGCCGTTGTTGTGTGATTTTCTCTAGTGATGTGTGTAGTCACGGAGTCTTGTGGTGTTTTGGCATGTATTGTCGTTGGGTGAGTCTTTATCCTTGTGTGTGGTTAACCTTTGTGGTTGGGACGTGTTCCCGGTGTTATCCTTGTGAATGGTGAGTCTTGTGTTGTCTTTTGATCTTGGCTTTCGACTTATATATATATATATATATATATATGTATTTCGTTTCGAAAATGGTTTTCATATTATATATCTACCTATTTATGATACTTAACGGTATTGGTGGGTTACCAGCATCTTTCGCTGACCAGGCGTTGCCCCGATGTTTATCTATGTATCTGTCAGGTGATGCGTAGTCGAGCGCGATGTCTAGAGCCGGTAGCTTAGCACCTGTATCTTTAGACAGTGTTGTTGAGGCCTGTGTGCCAATGTCTTTAGATTGTTCTAGTTTGTTGTTTTTGGGATTGTGATACACTTGCAGATTGTCGTCGTAGCGTATGCCAAGTGTGGTATACGTGGCATAACACCCCGTTTTGGATTCATTTTATCCAGTTATCTTTCTATCTTCCGCTGTGCTAGTGTTTTGTTGTTAATCTGCATGTGTTAAAACTTGTTTTTAGGTCTTGTTTTTGGGGGGGTGTTACAGTTGGTATCAGAGCCTAGGTTTGAACCTTGGTTTCGAGCCTAGGAAGAGTTAAGTCTAGACTTTCTAAGTGTTTAAGTGTGCTTTGAGACCTCTAAGCGACCTTAAGAAGCTAAGTGTTAGGCTTAGGATTCTAGGTTGCGCGGTGAGATGTGCGTTGCTTTCTGTCTTGCTTGCTTGCTTGTTCTTTTGGTAACCTTGTTTTTGTAGCAAAAGTCTGCGATGCCTCCTCGTCAGCGAACCGCAGTGTTTGAAGATGTGGGTGAAGTGGTTAAGAGATCTCGGTTGGCCGAATCTAGCAGTGCTCCTGGGGTAGTTGAGCGGTGGATCCGGAGTGGTACGTCCACAAGAGTAAGTCCTAGTGCAGCTACCTTGCCAGTACTCCGTGATGTAAGAGAGTATGGGAGGTTAGGGGTTCGTCATTCGGCGGTGGGGTCATCTTAAGAGAAGGTGCTTACCTTAAACGAAGTTCGAACAAGTGACAGTGACGTGGTAGTGGGAACCTTCCTTGTGCAATCTGTGCCAGCAACAGTCTTGTTTGATTCAGGGGCGTCTAACTCGTTTATATCATCCGGCCTCGTGAAGAAGTTGGGCTTATATGGGGGCGCTGGAGTGAGGTTTAATGTGAAGGTAGCGTCAGGAGAAGTTAGGATGTGTGACCGTCTTTTTGAGGGCATCAAGATTTGTATCAAAGGAGAAGAGTTTCCTAGTGATCTAATCCAGTACGACTTGGACGGGATGGATGTGGTCCTAGGTATGGACTGGTTGGGGCGGTATAGAGCCCAAATCTTGTGCAAAGATCAGAAGATAGTGCTACGAGGACCCAGCGGGAAGAAAGTGTCATACCGTGGAAAGATGGAAGAACCCGGAATTAAGTTGGTGTCTATGGTAAAGATGAAGAGGTACATGGACAAGGGCAATGATGTGTACTTGTGTTCCGTCGAGAACTTGGAGGCAAGGGAGGAAGTGGCTCACACAATACCTGTAGTTCGTGAGTTTCTTGATGTTTTTCCCGAAGAAATACCGGGTATGCCGCCTGATAGGGAAGTGGAGTTTTCAGTGGATCTCATGCCGGGCACTGCACCCATCTCTAAAGCCCTGTATCGTTTGGCTACGCCATAAATGCAAGAATTGAAGGCTCAGTTGCAAGAACTCCTTGATAAGGGTTATATCCGGCCAAGTGCATCGCCTTGGGGAGCTCCAGTGTTGTTTGTAAAGAAGAAGGACGGGAGTATGAGGTTGTGTATCGACTAGCGGGAGCTGAATCAAGTTACCATTAAGAACAAATACCCTCTTCCAAGAATAGACGACTTGTTTGATCAACTTCGTGGCGCGGGAGTGTTTTCCAAAGTTGACTTGAGGTCAGGGTACCATCAGATAAGAGTAGCGGACAAGGATATCCCGAAGACTGCGTTTCGGACTCGGTACGGTCATTACGAGTTTACAGTTATGCCTTTCGGTTTGACCAATGCACCTGCAATTTTCATGGATCTGATGAACAGAGTGTTCAAACCCCACCTCGACGATTTTGTGATCGTGTTCATCGACGATATCTTGGTTTATTCAAAAGATAAGGAGGAACATGGTGGGCACCTCCGGACGGTACTTCAGATCTTGCGGGAAAAGCAGTTGTATGCCAAGTTTTCTAAGTGCGAGTTTTGGAAAGACAGTGTGACGTTTCTAGGCCACGTGATTGAAAGTAGAGGAATCTCTGTGGATCCAGACAAGATATGAGCAGTGAAAGATTGGACTGTACCTTCATCGCTGTCGGAAGTAAGAAGTTTTCTTGGGTTAGCAGGTTATTATCGGAGGTTTGTTTTGGATTTTGCCAAGGTGGCTCAACCGTTGACTAAGTTGTTAAGAAAAGAAGTGCCTTTCGTTTGGGATCAAGCTTGTGAATTAGCATTCCGAGAGTTGAAGGAGAGGCTCACGTCTGCACCAGTTTTAATTTTGCCATCAGGAACGGAAGGGTTTGAGGTATACAGCGATGCGTCCAAGAAAGGACTAGGTTGCGTGTTGATGCAAAATGGGAAAGTGATTACTTACGCCTCTCGTCAGCTTAAAGTTCACGAAGAGAATTACCCTACCCACGATTTGGAATTGGCCGCGGTGGTGTTTGCTTTGAAAATTTGGAGGCATTATCTATATGGGGTGCGTTGCAAGATATTCACGGATCACAAGAGTCTCAAATATATCTTCACCCAAAAGGATCTCAATATGCGGCAGCGAAGGTGGTTAGAACTCATCAAGGACTATGGGTTAGATAATCAATATCATAAAGGAAAAGCCAATGTGGTAGCGGATGCCTTAAGTCGGAAATCGAAGCATACCGCTAGCTCTATTTGGGTGGTGGCGGATGAGCTTTACAAGGAGCTTCAACGGATGAGCTTGGAAGTGGTGGAACAAGGAGATGTGGAGGCAGAAGTTCGTTGTTATAACTTAAGGATTGTACCTACATTTCTGGGAGAAATTAAGGATGAGCAGCAAAAGGATATGTTTTTGACCAAGGTAAGGGATGATCTAGCAAAAGGAAAATGGGGACCGTTTGAGTTATCCACGGATGGAGTGTTGAGGTACAAAAGCCGTGTGTGCATACCCGCATCATGTGATCAGTGGAAGCGACGGATTTTGGAAGAAGGTCATAATACACCCTATTCGGTTCACCCCGGAGGGGACAAGCTATACAAGGACGTGAAGGGTTTCTTCTGGTGGCCTAATATGAAGAAGGAAGTTGCAGAGTTTGTTGGGAAATGCCTTAATTGCCAAAAGGTTAAAGCGGAATGTTGTAAGGTTAAGGGGTTGGTACAACCGTTAGAAATTCCACAAGGGAAATGGGATTCTATATACATGGATTTCGTGGGAGGATTACCGATGACCCGTTCGGGTAAGGACAAAATCTGGGTGATAGTTGATCGTTTGACCAAGACTGCCCGCCTCATCGCAATGAAGGAGACCTGGACAATGACACAGTTGGCTCAAGCTTATATCAACCAAGTGGTAAAGTATCATGGAGTTCCGAGGGATATTGTCTCCGATAGGGATTCAAGGTTCTTGTCTCAATTTTGGAAATCTTTGCAAGCAGCTCTTGGAACTAAGTTAAGTCTCAGTACAGCTTTCCACCCAGCCACCGATGGACAAACAGAAAGGACTATACAGACTATCGAGGATTTGTTGAGAGCTTGTGTGTTAGATTTTCAACGGTCTTGGGAGGACCATCTGGATTTGATAGAGTTCTCTTACAACAACAGTTATCATTCGAGTATTCGCATGGCACCTTATGAAGCTCTCTATGGATAGAAGTGTCGCAGTCCGCTTTGTTGGGAGGATCTTGTTAATCCGATAGTGTTGGGGCCACAATACTTGTTGGACACATCCGAGAAAGTTAAACAGATTCAAGAAAGGATGAAAGCGGCTCAGTATCGTCAAAAGTCTTATGCTGACTTGGCTAGAAGACAGGTGGAGTTTTCAGTTGGGGATAAGGTTTGGTTGAAGGTATCTCCCACCCGGGGAGTAATGCGGTTTGGGAAGAAAGGGAAGTTGAGCCTTAGGTTTATAGGCCGTATGAAATCTTGGAGAGGATTGGGAGTTTGGCTTACCGTTTGGCGTTGCCTTTGGAGTTGGATAGAGTGCATAACGTGTTCCACGTATCGCAGCTCAAGAGGTATGTTCATGATCCGTCTCATGTTTTACCACCGGAAGTGTTACCGATAGATGAAGATTTGTCTTATGAAGAAAGGCCGCTCAGAATTTTGGACTTCAAGACTCGGGACACTCGTAGGAAATTTGTTAAGATGGTAAAGGTTTGGTGGTCTCATCATGGGGTTGAAGAAGCTACTTGGGAGCTGGAGGTATCGATGCGGGAGCGGTACCCTGAGTTGTTTGTGGAAGGTACCTTGTTTCTTTGGTTGTTGTGTGATTTGTGTGCTTGCTTGTTTTGTTTGTTGCCTTGTTGTTTAGCTAGTGTGTTAGTTGGTGTTTGGGTTAGTTGTTTAGTTCCTAGTTGTTGTCTAGAAGTTGGTTGTTGTGTTGAGGTTAGAGTTCTTGATGCCCAATCTATCCGTTTGTTGACCTCTTGCCAATCCTTGAATTCGTAATGTCTTTCTCTTTGCCTTGGAACCTTGTGAGAACTTTTGGAGTTTTTGACCAAAAGGGATATTCTTGGACATCTTGTCACAATTTTGTTTCCTTGTTACCTTTCGTTATTAATTCGTTGTACCCAAGTTTCGGGGACGAAACTTCTTTGAAGGGGGAGAGGATGTGACACCCCAAAAATCCACACTCCAAACCATGAATTAATTGAGTAATTAATTCTATTTCTTTTGAGGAATTGATTCCTAAAATCCTGATTTTTTGATACTCAAGGACTAGTATTTGACTAGTCAATCTTTAAGTGGTGTTGTACCTTGTGCTTTGAGAGGAGTTCCCTTGTTCCTTACACTTTTTAAGAGTTAGTAAGGGTATCCTTGTCTTTTCACCAAGAGCTAGTTTTGTAACCTAAACCTAGAAGACTTCTTCATTTCATTCCCTTACATTTCCTAGAAAATATCTCTACCTTCTCTCTAGAATAGAAGAGTAGCTTGTTCTTCAAGCCAAAAGAAGCCTTTGTCAAGATTCCAAGTTTTGCTTCCAAGATTCAATCTTTCCTATATTTTGGCATCTAGAAGGGTAAGATCTAAGCTTGTCTAGTCTTTTTGGTTCCATCTTAGTTGTCTTTTTCTTAAAGGTTGGATCTTTATGATCTTTTGGTTTGATCTTGAAGTGGGTTTGGCTAGTGAGCTTAGTGGAGAGCTTGTTGTGGTGTAAGAAGAGTCTTTTGGTCTTCAAGAGGTAACTCATGCTCTACAAAACCTATTTTGCTTACCTATATATGATTTCTTGGCTTCTATTTGTGTTTTGCTATGAAATGTGAGAGTTTATGCATTTATCTTGTAATATTGCATATCTAGAGCTTGTGTTTAGGATTCCTTTGTGCCATTGCTTGGCATTTTCCTTGGTTCAAGTCATTTTGTTGTGTTTGGTGAGATTTGGTGTGTTATGGACTTGAATTTGTGTTGGAAGGAGAAAATCCCCGAAGGGATTGTTTGACACAGGAGCGTGTACCCGCGGGCGGAACGGCGGGGAGAGCCCTACCCGCCGCCCACCCGCCGGTACACGGGAATGTGGGTGTTGTACCCGCGGGCAGAACCACGGGTAGGGGCCTACCTGTGGGTCCACCCGCGGGGAACACAATGGTGTTGAGATGGGATTTGTTCCCCGTGATTTGTTCTTTTGGCCTCCCGATGTTCTTTTGTGGAACTATTTGAGCGTCTTCTTGATGTTTCGTAGGTCTAGAGCTTTATGGTAGGTATCCATGTAGGATCTTTCGTGTTGTGTATCGTGCTAAGTGTTCAACATTGTGTTTCGTTGAACCGTGTGGTGTCTTGTGTGTTCCTCGGATTTATCTTGAGTTTCCCCGTTGTTGAGCTTGCTAGTTATTATCTTAATGCTAGCGTCGTTGTTGTCGTTGGGTGGTGACCCGTCTCTTGATTGAGTATGTTTCTTACCTCTTTTGCAATCTGTTGCTTGTTTCGTGTGAGTGGTGGTGCGTGTGTGGCTCTACCTGGATTGCACGATTAGTGGTATGGGACGCTAGTCACCAAGGTATTGCAGCGGTCCTCGTGGTGGCCGTGACGTGATTATGGAGTTGTGTCTGAGTCCATGTGATTGGGGGATAACATTGTGTTATCCGGGCATGTGTTGCCGTGAATTGGTGGGTTTTCGTTGGTGGTTATAGGTGGGGGACGACGGTCCCGGCGGAATAAGGTTGGACTTGGCTGTACATGGGGTTTTCCGGAGGTAATGGTTGGCTTTGAAGGTACAAGGTTGGGGGTAGCCATAAGGTTGGAACAGGGCATAAGGAAGACATATCAACTCGTGATGTGTGATGTCACGAGGGCTTGTGAAGCCGTTGTTGTGTGATTTTCTCTAGTGATGTGTGTAGTCACGGAGTCTTGTGGTGTTTTGGGATGTATTGCCGTTGGGTGAGTCTTTATCCTTGTGTGTGGTTAACCTTTGTGGTTGGGACGTGTTCCCGGTGTTATCCTTGTGAATGGTGAGTCTTGTGTTGTCTTTTGATCTTGGCTTTCGACTTATATATATATATATGTATTCCGTTTTGAAAATGGTTTTCATATTATATATCTACCTATTTATGATACTTAACGGTATTGGTGGGTTACCAGCATCTTTCGCTGACCAGGCGTTGCCCCGATGTTTATCTATGTATCTGTCAGGTGATGCGTAGTCGAGCGCGATGTCTAGAGCCGGTAGCTTAGCACCTGTATCTTTAGACAGTGTTGTTGAGGCCTGTGTGCCAATGTCTTTAGATTGTTCTAGTTTGTTGTTTTTGGGATTGTGATACACTTGCAGATTGTCGTCGTAGCGTATGCCAAGTGTGGTATACGTGGCATAACACCCCGTTTTGGATTCATTTTATCCAGTTATCTTTCTATCTTCCGTTGTGCTAGTGTTTTGTTGTTAATCTGCATGTGTTAAGACTTGTTTTTAGGTCTTGTTTTTGGGGGGTGTTACACATTAACTGAGTAACAGTCTTGTTTTCCCAGCCGTCATGTTCCTAAATGGCTGTGACTTTCATCCTGAACCTTGGTGGTAGAGATCTCAAAATTTTTTTAACAAGTTTCGCTTGAGGAAAAGGTTCACCAAGGACCATCGCACGATTTGCTAGTTCTTGTACG